GATTCATTTTATCTACCGATGTTCTCGGCCTTCTCTTGAAGGCAATTACAGGAGAGGCTAGAGCTATTTACACATTTGCACCAAACTTTTGACAAACAAAATAACTTAGAAAATTGCACAAAGTCAGCAATTCTAAAAAGCACATGAACAGACAGAAGCATAACACAATTTTAGCTTAAATTGTCGCATATAAGAGCCCTACCTTTGAAAACTTAGCATTGGTAGTGTACCCCTAAACTTTTAATGACATGCTTCTTTTTTCACTGGGAAAACAGATGTTCCAATGAAGATTCAAAATGACACACGTTAGAGGACCTAACAACACGTTCTAGAGGTTAATTCCATTCTTTAAACGCGTCAACAAAACATTAATGTTTGGTAATATCTATCCTACTGTTGTAGGGTTAAAACCTTTATAATGACGTGTGCACCTTTTTAGATATAGTTCCGGGTCGATTTTTATATTTTTAAATATAAATCTAGTAGAACAGTCTTAACCGGTTAACTCTCTGTTTAGTCTTCAATAACTGAAGACCACACTGATTTAGCATTTTAGTCACAGATTCTTATCGTTTGTACTTATAAAGTATAAGACGTGCAGCCATCCTTTAAATTTCCTATAATATTATCTTGTAATTTTTTTTTTGCAAGGACTCCAGACTACGCTGGCATACTCCAAAATGGGGAGTATTCTTGTTTTATAAGCTGTCAGCTTGGTGTCACTAGTCGCAGTTTCAACTTCCGTCTTATGAAGCATAGACTCCAATAAGCGGTGGAGCAAACGGTATCAATATGGGTCAACCATTGTAAATTGTGTGAAATTGTAACACCGAGGTATTTGAAACTTTACACATTGCTTAATTTAACATTCCCCATATTACAACAAAAAGGCAAGACACTTTTTTGTTTGTTATAATAATGTATGCCTATTTGCGAAGATTTATCCGCGTTTGCCACTGCCTTAAAATTCAAAATTTCTGTTGAAGTGAATTGATCACTCGTGGTTTTTAATGGTGAATAAAGGCAATCATCGGTAAATCGATTTAGTTTTGTTGGTTTCTGGATATGTGAAGCAATGTCATTGATGTATATTAAAAAAAACTATAATTATCCCAAGACCGCCGAGGCCTGAGGGACTCCTGATCATACGGGCAAAAGAGCAGATATGCTTCTTTTAATTTCATCTCCTTTACTTTGATTGGCTATAGATAAGCCTCAATCCAATGCACGACGTTACTACATAAGCCTATATCTTTTAGAAACCATACTAATCTTTGTGTGAGGTGTATGGAGAAATGCTTTTAAAATATCGATGCAGATGACATGAATCTGCTGTTTGTTGTTTACGATATAAGAAAAAAATCATAAAACGTTTCTACAAGTTGTGTTACGTTCAACAGGCCATTTCGAAAACCGTGCTGATGCGGGTAAAACATTCAGTGCTCCTTTAGGAAGTAAAATGTTTATTTCAAAATAACGTGCTCCATCACTTTACAAATTACGCTTGTTAAAAACATACGGCGGTAGTTTTCTATCTTCAGACTGTTTCCTTCTTTAAAAGCGAGGACAACAAGGGCAGATAATCACTGTTGAGGAAGAGACTGTGTCGGTAGTGACCTGCCAAATAGTACAGCCCCTCCGCATATCGTTTTAAGAATTCTTTTTTCTAAATTTAGATTTACTGACTTTTTCGCACCAAGAAAAGTAATTTAGAAAAAAAAATTACTGGTTGGGTACTCGTTTCAGCAACATCACGGGCTATCTCACTCAAAACATGTGGCGTATCGGACGTGAAGACCGAATTAAAGAGCATGTTAAAACAATCTTCATAACTGCACTGTCAGTAATGATTACGTCACTCTCAATATTTCGTTCAATCATTTCTTTTTTTTTCCTTTTAGAAACCGCCAAAACGTTTCTGGTGCAGTCTTTATAAAGTTACGAAGGGGTACCGAAAACACTTTTGCTCTGCCTCTTTCAGTTGAAATTTCGTTTTTAGCGCATATGCATTTTGTTTCCTTTGTATGTTTCTTTATTTGACGTTTTATGCGTACAATATCACGTGTAATCGAGGGATGTTTACGATCCGTGCTTTTATTTGTGTTTAGGAAGTAATTATTAATGCAAAAGATGCTTGCTTATAAAAAAATCCACAAATTTTCTACTGTGTTAGCAACGCTTAGTTCCTCAAAAGCTTCCAATTGTGGCTATTCTATAATACTGGTGTCATCCGCACGAGCAAGGTTTTTAACAGCTATGGGCTTAAATGTCCGGTGATGGGTATATTTGTGGTAAATGGATTGTGAACAAGACAATTTTATGATCAAAAATGCCCTACATAACTGAAACTTCGTACTCGGAAACAGTTGTCCGTAGTGAATATCAATTCCAATACCGACTGAGAGTAATAAGTGCTTCTAGTGCATTTTTCACTGCTCGGGTAAGATTCTGATTAAACGTAATGTCGAGTACCTTTTCTCCGTTTAGAACATCAACGCCACCAGTTTTCAGTGAATCCCAGTTTACATGTGTCTGATTAAAGTTTCCATTAAGTATTACCCTGGTATCGCTATTCACGTGTTTACACATAATATATAATTCAATCACTATGAAAATTCAACTGGTGCGTTCAGTGGCCTATAAACTACCCCTCGAAGAAAGACATGATTGCAAAAGGATTTTCGGTACCAGGCAGTCTTTTGCCAAATTATTTTGGAAAATAAGAAAAAAAAAAAAAAACTTGCTTAGAAAAGCACGCGTTGAATTACTCGGAAATAAATGCAGTCCATATGAACACGAAAGTCCTGGTGGTGAAATGGTCTTACACAATAGACGACAGTTTGTCATGAGGAAGGTTACTGGAACACAAAACAAATCTAAGGTGAAAATTACACTGACCACCACAAATTAAGAACTGAATTGTAACGAATCAGAGGAGGTGAAATACTCATTTATCCGGAGAATCAGCATCCCACGTCGTTTTTGTATTTATTTTGTATTTAGGCCTAAAACAGAGAATTTAATAATACACAACAGTCATAAGCGAGAAGAATGCAATTTTGATTATTGGCGATCCCTCCCCATCCCCGGATATCAAGGAAAAAGTAGCTAGTACAACATGGTCCAGGTCCGAGACTGAGGAAAAATTAAACGAAGTCCACGAAGAACAGAGAAGTCTGAAAAAGGTGCAAATAATATTTGAACTAAATGTATAATACCTAGACTACTATGACTTATATTAATTTCTAACTTAAGAAAGAAGTAGTGAGACTGTTTATTATATGAAGTAAGATATACAGCTAACTGCTCCCTAAAAAACGCTCGTCCGTCCACTTTCCCGCACCCGACACTCGGACAGTCAATCACCGCTATTTACGGAGGCAGCTCAGCGAATGACGTCGCCGAAACATACGTTTAGACCAAAAACCGCAGTCGGAGGAGTGACATTAAACAATGCAAAACGTCACGCCCTTGCATTGCTTAATATCACAACTCAGACTGAGTTTTTTGGTCTAAACATAGGTTTCGGCATCGTCATTCGCTGAACTGCCTCAGTTAGTTGCGGTGATTGGCTCTCCGAGTGTTGTGGAAAAAAGTAAACGCACAAGTTTTTCTTTTTTTTTTTTTTTTAGAATGTGCTTTTGAAAGTACATCCCAACTAGACTTTTTTCCCTTCTGAATAACGCACAATAGTTAATAAAGTCTATTCACGATCATAAAGTAAGGTTTCCAAAACAGGCATTCGCGTGAAGGAAGCTGCAGTAGAAATCACATTTTCGAAACTAAAGCGGAGTCGAGCTGGTTTAAGACTGGCAAGATAATCCTGGACAAAGGGGAGGAAGGGACGTACAGTTTTGTGCTTATCCGTCCCTTTTTGCCCTTGCTCGTGAGTTGCTGTCGACTTTTTTTAAATTATTATTATAGAAATTTAATTTTGACACCCCCCTTATTTAATGCTTACCTCAAGAGGTCCTTAAGGTAATAAAATAGAACGAAATGAAATTTACGTTTCTGAAACCTTCGCAGCTCCTCCCAACGCTGTAGTTGTGCATAGAACGCGACACCCGATCCAAAATGCACACATAAACCAAAAGTGTGCGACAACCGCCCCCCCCCCCCCCCCCTTTCACCCTGCAGCCTCAGAAAGACTTAAAATAAACGCTGACCCAGTCACTTCGGCCAAAACTGTACATCCCCCGCCCCCTCAAAAAGAAAAAAAAAAGGTCACCACGCTAGGGTCGTAAAAACTACAAGCAATATGAGTACAGACACGAAGCTTCAAAGCACACGGCCGTCACATATGCACGTATAAATTAAACAAACTAAAGCGCAGTAGGCGGCATCAATAAAAAGTCTAAAAACAAACAACATATGGTTGAGTTTCAATGCCTTGAAGAGGTATCGCAGCACATAATGCAAAAAGAAACACTTTAGCAAAATACTACGGGCTCGAAATGATTCAACGATGGCTTCAATTAATTCGAGAAACGTAAAGTTTACTCCGACACTTGCGTTTAGACAATAAGCGGCAGTTGACGCTTTTATGTCTATAAGTCAATTGCGTCTTTTGTGCAGACGGAACGATTATGAATGTGCACAAGTCATTGCCTTGTGCTTCATGTCTGTCATAAAAGGTTTCATTAGCTCTTATGAACGTTCATCATGCGAGGACACGATGAGCAACCCGACGGAATGAATGCGAGATATATCGCTACCAAATGATCACAAACTACCAAGGAAGACCCCTTTCTCGAATTATTTGTGAAATCACACACCTCTGGATAAGTCCTTCGGCGCGCCGCCTCGGTACACAGTGAAACGTCCACTGGCCAAGGGTCCTGGCGCCCGTCGCCAAATCGGGCGCCCAGAAAGCCTCCCTGTCAAAACTCGGAGAAGCACCTCTTGTCACGGTGCTCTACGAGCACCCCGCCCTGGCGAAGCGCCGGCATCCTCGCAACCGTTATTTTTAAGGCCCCTAAGCAATCGCTCGAAATAGCAAGCCGCGGGCTATCGGCAACGAGCCCCACGCGATCGATACACCTACGCAGACACTCAAAAGTTATGGCCGATTTACGGGTCCGGTGCAGCGGAACCTGCTCCCCGAAAGACTGAAGAGGACGTCGATATGGCCTGGCGACCTGGCGACCCACTGCGCTGAACCATCGAGCAGGCCGCGACGGAACGCGTCTCCCGGTGACGCTCAGCGCACGTCACCCAGCAACAGATTCCCATAGGTTGGCCCGCTCACGCATCCCCCGCTGCTTGCCAGCGGGGCTGGGAAGCGATGCCGTGTGGATAAATATAGACGCCCGGCGCGTGGAGCCTTTTAAAAGGAACCGGCCGCATTTTGGCAAAACTGCTGAAAACACCGTCGCGGCAAGTGCTCTCGCTAGATTCGAAACAGTGCGAAATCCAGCTAGCATGGCCAAAAGTGCCCCAGCCATCGGTATCGACCTCGGTACAACGTACTCATGTGTGGGAGTCTTCCAGCACGGCAGAGTGGAGATCATCGCCAATGACCAGGGGAACCGGACCACGCCCAGCTACGTCGCCTTCACAGACACCGAGAGGCTCATTGGTGACCCGGCTAAAGCGCAAGTGGCTCTCAATCCCGAAAACACTGTGTTTGACGCCAAGAGACTCATTGGCAGGAAGTACGATGACCCCAAGATTCAGCAGGACATCAAGCACTGGCCGTTTAAACTAATCAATCAAGGAGGCAAGCCCAACATCAGCGTGGAGTTTAAAGGAGAGCGAAAGATTTTCAATGCGGAAGAAATTAGTGCCATGGTGCTGACCAAGATGAAAGAAACAGCCGAGGCTTATCTCGGTAATGCCGTCAAAGATGCGGTAATCACCGTGCCTGCTTACTTCAACGACTCTCAGCGACAGGCCACGAAAGACGCCGGAGCTATTGCGGGCCTCAACGTACTTCGCATCATCAATGAGCCCACCGCAGCCGCTCTTGCTTACGGCTTGGACAAGAACCTGAAAGGCGAGAAAAACGTGCTAATATTCGACTTGGGTGGAGGCACTTTCGATGTGTCCATTCTCACTATTGACGAGGGTTCAATGTTCGAGGTTCGCTCCACAGCAGGAGACACGCATCTCGGGGGGGAAGACTTCGATAACCGGCTGGTGAACTACTTCGTCGAAGAGTTCACAAGGAAACACAAGCGTGACCTGAAAACAAACACGAGAGCCATCAGACGCCTGAGAACTGCCTGCGAACGTGCAAAGCGAACACTCTCGAGCAGCACAGAAGCCAGCATTGAAATCGACGCACTCTTTGATGGAATTGACTTCTACAGCAAAATCACAAGAGCCAGGTTCGAAGAAATGTGTATGGACCTATTCCGCAGTACCTTGGAACCTGTAGAGAAAGCACTCCAGGACTCAAAGCTCGGAAAGTCTCAAATACATGAGATCGTGCTGGTGGGCGGATCTACGCGCATCCCAAGAATTCAGAAGCTACTCAAGGACTTCTTCAATGGTAAGGACCTAGCCATGTCCATCAATCCCGATGAAGCTGTTGCTTACGGAGCAGCTATTCAAGCAGCTATTCTAACAGGAGACACGAGTGATATTATCAAGGACGTGTTGCTCGTCGACGTTGCCCCTCTTTCACTGGGAATCGAAACCGCAGGTGGTGTAATGGCAAAGATTGTAGAGCGTAACAGCCGCATACCTTGCAAGACATCCAAGACATTCACGACGTACGCAGACAACCAAACTGGCGTCACCATTCAAGTGTTCGAAGGCGAGCGGGCCATGACTAAGGACAACCACCTCCTGGGCACTTTTGACCTGATGGGCATCCCACCGGCACCAAGAGGAGTGCCCCAGATTCAGGTGACCTTCGACCTGGATGCCAACGGCATCCTCCAGGTTTCTGCAAAGGACGAGAGCACCGGACGCTCGGAGAGCATTCGCATCACCAACGACAAGGGCCGCTTGTCCAAAGATGAGATTGACCGTATGCTGGCAGACGCCGAGAAGTACAGGCAGGAAGACGAGAAACAGCGAGAAAGGGTGACCGCGAGGAATAACCTTGAGTCCTACGTGTACAACGTTAAGCAGTCCGTGGAAATGGTGGGAACCGACAAACTCGAGGCCAGCGACAAAGAGAAGGTGCTGAGCAAGTGTGAGGAAGTGATCAACTGGATCGACAGGAACACGCTGGCCGAGAAAGACGAGTACGACGATAAGATGAAGGACATGCAGCAGGTGTGCGCACCCATCATGACCAAGCTCCATCAAGGCTCTGGTCAGCAGGCGCCTCCCAACCAAGGCGGCGCCGCCGGACCAAAGATTGACGAGGTGGACTGAGTGTTGCCAACATGGGAGATCGTCATTGTCCTTTGAACTGAGAATAGAACCGAGAACTCGGTTGTGGACTCATTGGTGGATATCCCTCGAGCATTTCATGCAATCACTCGACAGTGGCGTCTCCACTTAAATTATGGGGGGACGTCAAAGGCTTACCGTACGCTTTGCGTCTTAAGTTTTGCAAGCGCTGTGAGTTCAGCTCCATAACGTGTCGTGCAGAAATATAACATAGCGTCAAATACGTCGTAGAATATCGAATTATAAAATAATCAGTGGTATAGTTTTGAGGATGCGTTCATAGCTTGAAATATCTGTTGTTCGCTTTAATTTTCTATAATCTTTCAAGTTGGTTGACATCTTTGTGTCGGTTGCGTTCGCAGCAACCAAAACGACAACGACAAAGTCACCGGGACAAGTGTTTGCCGCACAAAACGTGGCAGGCAATGCAAGAGGCAGCTTCGCGAAGGAATTATGAGTCACGCTTGTTCGGGGGTTTCGGTCGTTTCTGTCGGTTTGAGTGTTGTGAACGCCACCGTCGCAAATGCGTGACCGGCCTTTAGTCGTATCTTTGATTACTGTATTTCGTTTTACATCGAGCTTTTTTTTTTCCTTTCTTTTTTTCTGCATGTATGTGGGAGAGCGAGCGAGAGAGTTTTCACTCCAAGTTGTCTGCCCTAATAAACGGATCTCTTGAAGTCAAAGCGAGTACCGAGGCAACTCAGGCGAGCTGGTTAAGCACATAGGGGAAGATTGTTGGGACAGGACATATTTCATGCTTAAGTTTGTCCTGTTCCTCTCAACGTTCCAGGGTTACAAAGTATGCCAACAGATCTTTGCTGGTCATTATTATTCACTGAAAAAATAAAATAAATTAGAACTAAGAAAGTAAAAGAAATCGTAGGTATGCAAAAGCGACAGAAAGTGGTTGGACTAAAAATACATACTTGGTCGGCACCCGCTGACTGTCCTTTTCCGAAAACAGCATGCACAAATACTGTATTTTCGTACGCATATTTTTGAACTCTTGGTGCAGTACTCATTCTATCTCAATTTTAACCTTGTAATACTCGTCTATAAAGTGCAGGGAGCCACACTGCCGTGCTGTGATGATTTTGGAGATTAAAACAATTCCTACAGTGTTCCTTCTTCACCGCATCTGCTACCTGCAGATGCGGTGAAGATGCGGTGAAGAATCGCGTTGATTTAAGAGCATATGTGAATGACAGTCAAAACAGGTTTTGTGTATTTTTTTGTGCATCCGAGATTGAAATTAGGACAACGATCCTCAGTGTTCCGCGCGTGCCAAAAAAAGTTATTGACCGTACCATGGTCGCTATAAATGGTCGTAGAGAGGCTCAATTTGCACCGCGGGACAATTTCTGTAAAGGTTACAAAAAAGTGCACAAAGAAAAACACAAAAAACACAAACAGACTCACTCTTTTTTCCCATCCCTCATGGCGATCTTGTATTACGAAGCCAGTTCTTGGATAGAAGTTAGAACACATGCTTCAATGATTTTCCGAATTCATGGATGAAAGCAGTGGAGGTGAGTCTATTGCAGTTGGAAACACCGAGTGTAAGAAGGCCTGAAAAAATGTTGGAAATGCGTGAGCGTACGCTCGATGGATGTATACATTCCGTTCAGGTGCAATAGAACGGCGAATAGGCCTTTCCGGAAAACTCCACAAGGCCTCTCGGCGGTCCCGTATTGCACTGCGCGGAGAGGAGAATTGTGGGGCTCTGCCAATGCAAGCGGACGATCCGGTCTCCCCTATCATTGAAAGCTCGAAATACGAAGAAAAGAAAATGAACACGACGCAAAGTTGATGTGTACTGGGCATTGTTATCTTCCTGTCTTTCTTACGTTTGAAACATGAAATATTAAACCAGCACGAACTTATTCTAATTATGGGTACTCTTCCCACGCCATACATGGGATTATATCGATGCATCGAGAAGGCGGTTCAATCCATTACTTGAATTATTTATTTGGCAAAGCACATCTTTAAAAATGTTGTCCACATTATTCGACAATATATAAATAAATATATATATATATATATATATATATATATATATATATATATATATATATATATATATATATATTCAATAATTTAATATGCAGGGAACGGCCGTAAGGACCAGTGCATTTGGCACGCCTTGCGAAATTCGAATTATAAGCATACTGACGAAATTTGACACGCAAACCTCGTTTCACAAAGGATTATGCCTATTTTTTTAGTGCTTAAGTCAGATGTGGTGAAATATTAACACTAGAAGAAAAACGACGTCTGTGCATTTCCTACGTCCCATACCGGATGTTTGTCGTCTGGTGAGTTTATTTATTTATTTGTTTAAAAATACCGTCAATCTAACAAGGGATTTTAACAGGACTGAACACATACATACAAAAAAGTACATGGAATCATGCGTAGAACATCATAGTCGATCATACACATAAATGCTTATGCATAGAATTAATTAGACAGAAAATGTGAAACATCATAAATGTAACAGCTATTACAGAAATAATGAGGATAGCGAAATTCGCATAACCAAGACACCCTAGATTATTAGTCGCAATGTAAGAGAGTATCTAGCTGGTTTAGGAATTGAAGGGACGGTGGTGCTGTTAGTGATAGTATGGTCGAGTTGGTTCCATTCTCTGGTGACTAATGGAATAAAGAGTACTGGGAACAGTCATTTATGAAGGAATATTCGGACAATGTTTTGGTATGTTCATTTCTAGTCAGCCTAGAATCAGAAAATGATACACACCCAGAGATATCAATTTTAAAATAATCTTGAAGTATTACAATTTTAAAAGAATTGTTGACCTCCAGACAGAGGGCCAAGACCAAGTTTAGTCAGGGAAGTTTTCTGTCTCATGATTACACATGACTCCCTTCTTTATTGTGCAAAAGTTAATACATTTTTTCCTCACTTTAGGTGGTTGGGTAGAAATACTCTCAAACGTATTTGGAAATACAAATACTGGGTATATGGCAAAAACAGCTAAAATACTGATACTGAAATACATTTATAAAAATGTATCGCGATACGTATCAGAAATACATTTGAAAAATTAAAAAAAATTGGAAATACAGTTACAGGAATACATTTTCGTGGGGCTGAAATACAGACATTGAAATACCGTATTTACTCGAGTAATAGCCGCGCTATCTATGAACAAGGCCCGTGCGTCTGCTTTCCCGCAGAACACATATACAGCCAATCATTGCGTTGCGCATAAATAACATAGCGAATAACTAGATCGAGAACGCGATTCTCCATACAAATGCAATTTTCACAGATGGTATCTTCGCGCGAAGACGTTATCTCTGTCCTGTAAACCGAAGGAATCATGCTGCCGATCGCGATGATTGGCAATTTGAGTGCTCCGCGGAAAAGCGAACCTTCGGGTTCTCTTCAGAAACAGTGCGGCTATTACTCGAGTAAATACGGTACTTTTTTATAAAAAAAAAAACACTATTTTTTTATGTTTTGGTGCACCCCTTAGAGCACACGAAGAACAAAAAAGAGGCATGCTCTAGAATTCGAGATTTTGATTTTAAATCAGCGAGCGAGATTTCACTGCATGTTGGAGCCTAAATTAAGCTCGAATCAAATTTACCACAGAATTAACATCTTGTATTATGGGAAATACTAAAAGCAGCAAGCGATTTTTTTTTTACCGTGGCTCGAGCGTGGTTTTATTTCGGCATCTCTTATCTTTCTGAGACAAACCCTCAGGGAAATCTAAATCAGTTTTGTCACCCTCTCAGAAATTGCGGTGGCTTAGCTCGGCTATGCCAGGACATACGTAGCGTGAGCTTATGCGCAGAAAATGAGAGGCGCTATCAAGCGGCTCCGGTGCAGCGTCAGAGTTGGCTACTGCGCAACGGAGGCGCACAGCTGGGCACGCGGCGGCGCCAGTGCATCTGCCGCGGCTATGACGTCACTCCTCTGGAATGCGCAGACCGGCGAGGCGGGCGCGGCGGCGGCGGAGCGCCAGCTGTGCGTCGTGTGACGTCACTGCTCCTCGCGCATGCGCAGCACGGAGCACGGCTTATTATGCGAGCCACGCGAAACTGTTCAACTTCGGGCAGTGTAGCTCACGCTACAATAACTTCGAGAATTCACTATTTTTACGTTGTGCGGGAAAGTAGACGCACGGGCGTCTTTTAGAGTGATATTCAAAGCAAGTCAAAATGTAAAAGAAAAGACGAAAAGTAAGGTCTTACGCAAGCCAATTAGAATGCGAAATGAAAGCCAATAAAGCTTATCACCAACAAAAATTATCAAATTTATTTTGTATGGAGGCGTTTATATTAATAAAACGTTTTTTTTTTTAATTTATGCAGAACTTTAAATGTTTAAATTTGCAGTAGGTTTTCTTATTTCGCATTGTTTTCAGTGATTGGACAAATTTTTCAATTAATATTTTGTTTAAAGAATCACTATATGTTTAATTACTTTGATTTAAATGAAATAAATCTTATTCAAATAAAATAAATCTGATTTTAATCAATGTAATCTGATTGAAATTTAAATAAATCACATTTAAATCAAATAAATTTGATTTAAATCAAATTAATCTTATTGCTTGTTTTTTAATCATGATCGTTTTCTACCATGGGAACGACAGAGTAAGACAAAATACAGCACAATCGACAGTTTGGAGCAGTGGTTTTCAACAACTGATGTTTCGCGGACTTCTTGTGGATCGGCGGAGATGATGGAGGACCCCGTTCGTGGTGAGGGAAAGGGAAACATTATACATTTTTGAAAACCGGAGACGACGGACGAAGAAGGGGACAACACACAAAACGTCTCAACTTTGAAACGTTTGGTGTGTTGTCCCCTTCTTCGTCCGTCGTCTCCGGTTTTCAAAAATGTGTAACATCAACCAGTTCGCCTGCCTACTTACTTTATCTCGAAGGGAAAGATATAGGTTAATTATGATGGCGATGTAATAAATGAATATAACTAAGGGCTAGTGTGAAGTAGACTTCTCTTATTGCACACGAGAAAACTCACCCGAAAATTGGAACGCTTCTTTTCAATCTGAGAAAAGACAACTTTTATTGCCGGGTTTGACTCCTGAGGCTGCGCTTCGCGGGCCCCCATTTGAGAACCACTGGTTTGGAGAGTCAAACAGAATGTCGAAAATTGTCGAATCACCAAAGCATTTCGTAGACAAAGGCAGCGACTTCAAGGCATCACAGTAAAAATGAGCTCCTCAACTTAGGATTCACCTGAATGTCCAGGCTTTATGAACGAATAGTATATTAGAGAAAGTTCTTGAAGAAAAACAGTCTCGAAATGAACAAAATATATACTCCAGATTCATTGACTTTCACGAACCTCCACTTGAACAGGTGCATCTTGAAACGAGAAGCAAACCTGGGAAGCAAGCACACCTTGAGCATTTCCTAAGTGACCCCGGAGAAAAAAAATAACAAAAATTACTCACAACGTATCTAACAGAGCTACTCAGATCTTGCTAGAAATGCTTCGCCAGTTCGCTCGCGTTTTTGCGTTTTCTTCAATAACCTTCTTTTTTTTTTTTCCTAACTTAGCAGAATTCTGAGTTGCGAGCAAAAATTAAGAATAAAACACAAAACTCTGTTGTTGATGCTTATGCAGAACGAACGACGTACAGAAGGCTATAAATATCCAGAATGAATGTATCTC